TCTTTTGGTGGTCGTTTGATTTTATTTTTTTCATGGATATTGTCCATTAAAGTGTTTTTTTTTTTTTTTTACAATTTGTTATGAAATTTGTTTTCATTGCTAAAAAAAAGAAAAAAAACGCAATCAACTAAAAAATTAATTCCTGCAAAATTGGTGGGAATTGATTTTCCCCAAAAAAAGAGGAAAATCAGGCGCGTGAGCAAGGAGCAAGAAAAGAAAATCTCCTCAACTTTTGGCTCATCAAACATGATATATGGTGGGAAATGGAAAAGAAATTCCTAGTTTCATGTAATTTAATGCCCATCAAACAGGCCTAATATATATGGAGATCACTAGTATGTATTCCTTTATTATTTGTGAGTGTGTTAATTTTATCCGTGTCTCGAGTACACAATATGTCACCCCTAGTTATACCTTTATAACTTCAAATTCTTGAATTTGTTACTCCCTCCCTTGTATAATACTTTAAGCTTTCCGTGAATTGATTTTTTGTAAATGAGTCGAAAAGTATAATAAGCATACCATGTCTCGAGTTAGATCAAGAACAAGGTCAAAATGAGTTTAAAAAATAAAAAAAAAACCCTGCTAATTAATAGAGAGCTATGCATAAACCACCCAACTAAAGTTGTATGCATTATAAATATTATTTTTTAGGCACGAATGTTCAAATTATTGAGATTTTCTTGATTGTAAAATGTCTAATAATGTATATATTGGATATTTTTAGTCAATTATAGATCCAGAGAGAAAATTATGATTGATGAAATAAAATCAGTCTCAATGTTTTTTTTTTTTTTTTTTCAAATCCAATTTATGGTGAAAGAAAGGTGGGAGTAACCCGAGTTAAATATACTAACGACCACTACCCCTTAGATGAAAAGGGTTGGATTTTACGCTATTATATTCCTTCATCACGTCAGAAATTGCGGTCACTTTCTCAAATATATCTCAATTGTTATTGAATTTTAAAACATCTTCAAGTTGCCAATGTACTTTCTCAAATGTCTCTTAATTATTATTGAACTTTAAAAACTTTTCGAGTTACCACTAAACTTACTAAAACTATCTTATTAGCCACTCTGCACTTGCTGTTTCAAAATTTAACGGACTTGATGAACTTTTAAAACGTTTTCCCATCCGTCATTCCATCTTCCATATCACCGGTTCCTTAACTTTAAAACTACAAGCGATAGAGTGATGGATTGGATAACATTTTAGTAAAATTAGCGACAATTTAGAGAGCATTTATAGTTCGATGGTGATTGGAGAACATTTGAGAAAGTTCAGTGACAACTCGAAAATATTTTAAAGTTCAATACTGGTTGGGATATATATATATGAGAAAATTCAATGACAAATGATATATTTAACCCGAATAACTCAATAAAGAAATTGTGGCATGTCCATGATTTTTGCAATATGGTAATGTGGTGTAGCGCTTTCTTTCTTCTGGATAGATTTAAAAACGAACTGGCACAATTTTAACTAGTCCAATTCATTCTCGATTGTGATTCCATAGAGTCCCAACTCGACTCTTGTTGAACACGAGGTAATATTCATATGAAAGTTACTAATATTTTTCCTAGATCTCAACGTGTTCATTTCTAAATCCAAATATTTTCTTTCTTTATTTAGATATAGGAATAATGTATATTAAGAAGAATTATTTCTGATGTTGCTCCCCTCTATTTTTGAATGTTGCGAGGTCTTCACGTGTTGATATTAGTTCTAGTAATGACATATCATATCGATGATTTAGAAATTATATATTCATTTAAGGGTCTCGGGAGAAGATGATGGAAAAAAAATTTCTTTGTTTTTTTCTATTTTATTTTAATTAAAACAGAATATGGTTGTCTTTTTAATAAAAATAGTTTTAACTTTTAAATGGTTAACTATATGGCACATGACAGAAATGACCACCAATGCACCAAAGTTTGAGATGCTAACGTCACTGCAAAGAACGAAAAGACAGGCTCATTTTCCGCAGAGAATTCATAGATTGGGGACCATTTGTGCAAACATTCCATCGAATTACCAGCACAGTCTTGCTTATAAATGTGATGGGTCGAAACCCTAATCTGGGAGCGCCGACGCCGAAAGGGCTTCTGGCGAGCGATGTGCATTTTCGAAAACACTGTTAATTCACACTGGCACACATGATATTTATACAAATTCATTTGTAAAAGAGAAGGCGCAGTGATGAGGTTAGTAAATGATCTCGTTAATCTGATTATTATGAGGATAACTCTCTAAACCATTCTAATAAATTCTGAGCGCCTTCTCTTTCTTTAATTTCAACTCTAGGTTTTCCATATTTTGTTTCGATCTAAGGATTTTGATGTTTGTTTCTTTTGTTTTTCATAGTTCATCTCTAAAAGGGGATTATGAACTATTTTTTATAATTTTTTGGACTATTTTTTCAACGACGATCCTTTTGTTTTGATTTGAATTTATGTTTTTTTGATTGTTCAAACTCAATTAAAAATTGTTTTTGTGCTTGAAATTTGAGCCTGAATCGGGTAAGAAACACCATTATGTGTATCAGAGCAGGTGCATTCTATTTTGATGTATTTTTGCTCACTAGATTACAAGAAATTGTTATGAATCCAAGCTGTAGAAACGTTTTTCATAACTCTGCTCATAATGGACGAGTTTGAGACATTTTGAACAATGGCTAGATCCAGTGTAAGACCGACTAATTTCAAAATTTCAATGGACAAAAAAAAAATAATAATAATAATAAAATAAATAAATATATATATATCGAAAGAAAAAGGGAAAAATGTATCATCTCCCTCAACGCCCTTAGGCGGTTTTTGGGGGATTTCAATCGATATAGTTGAACAGAGGCAAATCAGTTCATTCTCAAGTTTGGATTCGATTAGAGTGGAATGAGATTTATTTCTGGGTGGTAGTTCTAAGAGGTGAAAGAAATTTGGCTGATTTTGAATTTTTTTAATTGAAGTAGAGTTATTAGGTTTTACGTCCATCTGGACCATTAACAAGCGTGGAATCATTGATGGAATTAGTTCGGGAGATGGAATAAGCATTTGGTAGTCATTTATATATGAATCATGCTTCATGTTCTTGACGGGCACTCACACATGTTGGGTTCATACATATTTTTTTTAAAGAATTAATCTCCACGTACAGGAAATTAATTTATAGGGGCTCAACATGTCACTCATGTGGTGGGTCCTAAAATTATTTAAAAAAAATTATGCGTGGACCTCACATGTGTGAGTGTCATGTAAGGGACCTATTTATGTGAAGTGTTATTTCTCTCCTCCGAGGCTCAGAAGGTCAATAAGAAAGTCGAATAAAGACCCATGAGATCAAAACACAATTGAAGCAAACAAAGTCAAAGTTCTCACACTGTAGTTTGAAGTCATTACATTGCAAGGACGAAGTTCAGACTTCAGCACTATCTCCAAGACGAAACGGCCTAAGTAAAGAATGGAGATGAGGCTCTTCACTTAGATGACTCCTCCAAGGTTCTCAATTCGTTCGAAGCTCGCAAGTTGATGCTATTTCACTTAGAAGATTTGAAGATCTCTTTGAAGTGATTGATGAAACATTTGTAATAAAAGTTTGTCAATGTGTTAATCTATTGTATAGAGCGGTTGATCTTCTATTAATGTATGAATAGATAGTGATGTAATGTCCCCATGAAGGAGATGAGACCACATGATTTTGATCCAACGATCACCACGACGGTCTATGTAGTATAAATAAGTTCTATTTTTAAATTAAGGGGGATGATTGATTGGAAAACAAGCAATAACATACACTCGAAACGCACGCTTGAACCTTGAAGAAAAATATACAAACATTTGGATTTAATTTCCATCTCCTTTGGTATGATTATGAGTTATAAATTTCTACACACAATTTCTATATACATCGTATCTATCATTTCACATATTCATTTTTGTGATTACATATATTAGTTTGATTTCAATTGGGTAATCGTTGTTAGCATGATTGCTTTTGTTCCATTTGCTGGAACTCGAACATTTCTGTCTTTCGCCATAAAGTATTTCTCTCGTCCATCTTCTCTATGCTACCGTCATCATTTCGTTAGGAACGCGTTGGAATTGTACTTGATTTGACGTGAGTGTGTCCGACATTTGTTGAATTATTTTCAGAGGTCAACATGAAGCATGATTTTTTTTAATACGTGGCGGGGGCCAATATGTGAGTGAAACATGGTGAGCCCCCATGAAATAATAAGTGTTAGTAATGGATAAAATTGGATAAACTATTTAATTAGTTTTACGAGTAAAGATTACTACATTACATTTTATATCAAAATTGTGGTGAAATGAGGGAAATATATTTTTTTGTTCTTTCTATTTATTTATTTTTCAAAAAATATAATAAAAATAAGTTATTTTTAGTCATTTAATCGGACTTTTGGACATAATAGTGGTATCAAATAAAAACTATGTTAATTAATAGAAAGTTTGATGATAAGACATATAAAAAATTGTTATGAATATAAATGTTATAATGAAAAAGATTAAGGAACGTAAATTTAATTAAAATAAGGTTAAATATAATTGTCATTTAAGTTTGATTCTTTCTTGAATCCAAGCCCAAACTAAATCCTAAACCGACACAATAACCGCCGAAGCCTAAATAGTAACATAAAATAAAAACGCAGGCCTTGTAAACCTAAACCCAAAAAAAATGGAAATTACACTAAACCAGCTATTTAGTTTTTATTTTTAAAAAATCAGATTTTCACTTTATTTAATCAAAAATCAGGTTTTAATTTCTCAATTAATATTAATAATAATATTTTTAAATTAAATTAAATATATACACACCCTACTACCTACCCCACCAACTTTATTTAAATATAAAACTCAACCAAAACCTAATTCATTCCATTTCATATCTCCCATCTCTATCGACGCCGCCTCCGCGCTCCGGCCACCGCCCCTCCCCCTCCCTCCCTCCCGTCCGTTTCTTCCCCTCCCCTCCCCCCTTTGCAGCAGCGATCTGCTGCTGCACGTTGCAGCAGCGTCTCAGGCGCTGCTGCTGCAACGTGCAGCAACAGCGTCGCGACGGTAGTGTGCAGCGTCGCGACGCTGTGGCTGCTGCCAGATCTGCATTTTTTTTCCTTCCTACTACCAGATCTTGGGTTTTTGAGTTATGGTGATATTGGGTTTTTATTCATTCTCAAATTTTGTTAGTGATTTGCACATTGTGATTTTTTTGAA